TATATATATATATATATATTTCACCAACATGTGACTGATTTGGAGGGAAACTGTCGAATATTCCTTACATGGAGTGTTTGGGCACCCTAGTTCCTATGGGAAATGGTAAGCAATGGGGTTGCTTTTGTATGCTACATAGATTGTGATTTGGTGCAAGCTGAATCCTTTGGTTAGAGCCCGTTTAGGGCCCCCTGAGTTATGAACCCACGGTATGTTCGGCTATGAGCCCATTGAGGACATGAGAAAACTAGCTTGTCCCCCTAGTTTGGGGAGGGGAGGACACAGGGGACGTGGGGCACCCACACAAAAACTAGGGACACACCAAGCTCTCCCATGTCCTCCTGAAGGAAACAAGTAATTTGTCAAATATATTATATGTTCATATATGAACCCCTTTCAGGAACTCCTAGTTTGTGAGTGGATTACACTGGTCTGAAAGTAGATGGCACAACTTCCTCTAGGAGAAATTGTGCCATCTACTTTCACCAAACTGTATCCACACACTATGGCTGAATTACGAGAGCGAGTTATTAAAGGTCCAACGTGTCCAATCAGCCTTGGACCCTCAAGAAAGAAGCCCTCATCCTTCCTTGGTCGGTTGCAAACCCATGGTGAGGTTGCGATGATTTGCGAACGAATCATTGCTGGGTCGTGGTATGAAAAACAGACTCGAGTTAGGCCCTGTTAGTCCCATATGTTGGATTTCGAGGGAGTTAGGCTTCTTTAAATAAACTTAGTTTCTATAGCTGGCTTCAACTTCAATGCTTAACAAAGGACTAGCTGCTGCTGACTGATTGACTTGTCCTTGTTCACTTCTCTTTAGCTTGTTTGGGGGGTGTTTTTCAGGGAGGTGGATTTATTGGCGGGTGTGTAGTAATATGTTCAATAGTTGTTGTTTTTGTTCTCCTTATTTTGGAGGGAGTTCACAATCGGAGTTGGATATTAACCAGTCCATTGATATGAACGTTTCAGCCTATGGGACGTGGCTGGGCGGAGCTGATTTTGCAACCAACCCGTCAAAGGGAAGCCTTGACAAACTCCCGGAGATTGACTTCCGATTGGCGGGAATTCGCCCAATCGATTGAAGTGACAGCCATTCTTTCATGCTTAGATCTTCTGTGAACGCGCTACATGCAGCATGTATGGCCCATTTCAAGGATGGCTTCCTGCAAAAGCTGGGCAGTGGCAACCCCCACCTTTTCCACACTCTACGACTGGGGGTCGTTCGCATCTCCTGAAACAGGGGGAAGTGTCTTGAATTTCCTGCCCCAATGGGGGGGCCAGCCGCACAGACTTCCGACTCGTGGCCCAGCCTGGGCGGCTGGTGGCGTTTCCTCTCCTGCTTCTCCTCAGGCAACGGTTTCAGAGCGATTCCCTTTGCTACCAAGGGTCAAGAAACTGGCAACACAACCAACCAAACCGGCTTTCTTGTTGCAAGGGGTGTAATTTTGACAACCCTTGCAAGCCGACTTGCATTTGTTTGGTGTTGAGACTGGGAGCCTTGTCAACGCATGACCAAACATTCAACCCCTCCCCTTTCTTCCGTTTCAGTTCTGGCTAGATTGCTTGAAGGTGTGTTGGTCGGTCCTCACAGAAAAACAAAAAACAAAACATACGCACAGGGCAAGCGCAAACATGGAGGCTAACACTGGGCAGGGGATGTATAAGATTTGAGACTGCATACAAATGCGTGCCCCTAAAGTTGTCAGCCGGCCGCCGTTTGTCATCCGTTCACCGTTCGCTTCACACCATCTCAAGCAGTTCGGACCCACAATGCAATATTCAGCCTGAAAGCGTACATGGGAATTTCATGACTTTCCAGCCCTTGTTATGGTAGCAAGAAGCGTTCTTTCTTGCAACAACAAACAACAACTGGCAAACATGCCAACAACCGTGAAGGTGAATACCCATCATACCTTGATATGGTTGGGGGGGGGCACGGAACAAAGGTAAAGTCACAGTGTCCTTTGACCTTTGTATTGGACATGTGCTAAAGGGCACTCGGCCCATCGGGTGGATTCAAGAAAGAACCAAGCCCATCCTCCGATCCCCAATGTTTTTGCGCGTGCATCAGATGTTGACTGCGCGTTGCTTTCTTTGCGGCATACGTGTTCATGGTGTTGTGGTATTCATAAGGGTGTCAAGTGGTGGACTATGATCATGAAGTAGGTTGTCTCCTAATAATTACATGAGGTTTGATCTTTATTCTCTAACTTTTGTGACATTAGTCAACCTTCTGCGAACCCTTCCGCCAAGCTTTCGCGGCGTGAACCGTTGCTTCCCCAAACTTTGCTTGCTAAAAATTGCTGTCGCGGCTTCTGCCAGCATGTTTTGCCTACTGTTGCTTCCGCAGCCACGGTGTTGTTCCTTTGGGCTTCTGTAGCAACTTATGCTGTTTAACGCAAAAACCTTCCACGGAGCTTCCGCGAGGCAAGGCAAACACTTCCGCAAACCTTCCGCTTCTGCAATCCCATGCATGTATTGCTTGAAGAATGTCCACGTCTTTCTTGTTGAAATGACCGGGCAAAACAACAACAAACCTCGCAAGAATATTGTATTAACTTGTATTAGCCTGGCCAAGTTTGGTACTGTGCATGCTACAGTCTGTGCACCGAGCTAAAAGCCTTGCACAAACAAAATGCCGGTCAGCCACACGAATTCCAGGAGCACTTTGCCCATGGATTCCACCTCTTTCTCTACGTTCAGTACACTCTTGGCGCTTTTGTGTTGCGTATCCACAGGCGGGTCATCCAACTGTTGAAGCAATGCAGCCTGCCTTTCTATATCCAACCAAAGCCGGTTTTGAGTAACGGCCTCCAAAACTTGGAAACCGCAAAATGGCGAATTCAATTCGGGTTGCCCAAGACTGTGCCTTTGAGGGTACCCATGGCACCCTCAAAAAACAATCCCGCCATTCCGAAACGCCTGGCCTGCGTAACTCAGATCTCACTTCCCACCCCACATCCCATTTCTCCGAATGCGGAGTGGATTCTCCAAGTCTGCTCAGAGAAACTGAACCCCTGCTCCCAATGTCTAGATGTCTAAGTAGTGCATCTTGATTCCGTGCCCAGGCGGGTTGGCGGATTTCGTGTCGGGACAGCCCAAACCAAATCCAGCGCTGCTGATCCCGCCTCTTCTCGCTTCTGAGCTTGGAAACTGTTCTGGAGCTGCTTCAGGCTGTCTGCTCTCAAATCCTCCTGAGCCACAAAGGGCGTTCCATTTCAACTGAGTCAAAGCGAGTTGCGTCAACAAATCAACACCTGGCATTAAATGATCTACCAAAACCGATGCAAGTGGCGTCTGCACGTAATTCTGGTTGGGACTGTCCCTTCCTTCACTTTGCCTTTTGGCTTCCTGATCACAACCAAAAACGGTCCATGTGACCAAGCACGCCATCGGAAGATGTTCCAGCCACGTTCTATACAACCAACCTCTTTCAACAAACTGCGCCGACCAAACCGGGTGGCTTGACCCTGGACTTCGGACTTTGCGAACTCCGAGATGCTGTCCTTCCGCCTGGATGCGATCCATTTCAGAGCTGCAAAGAGATCCGAGCTGAAGATCTGCGCCTGAAAAGCCCGTCTCACGCCTTTTCTTTGGACCCTCCCTCCCAGAAGAATGCCATGGACGCCACAATTTGCCAAGTTGCCGGGGGAGATGCCATCTTTTGTCCATGAGGGCGTGGACTACCCCAGGGGAAAAACATGTCTATATAAATATAACTATGATAATACTACATACATATTTATATAATACTATAGACAAATGCATATTTAATGTGTTCTACACCCAGCTGAAAGCCGATGCCTGTGCAAAAGCGACAGGAATATCATACGCCTATGTAAAACATATTCACACGCGACAACACTAGTCTGCTCAATGTTGACACTTTCCCGTGGCGCGTTGAAGGGGATTCACCTGCTCGAAACTCAAGTAACTCCGCCCGGCGGAACCAAAACCATCGGAAACTTACAACATCGTTTGAAGCTCGCGATTCACCGCGCCCACAGTTGCGGCAAGGAGGCAGAAGTGTGCTTGGGTTTGGACACATTTCCGCCACTCAAGCTGTAAACATAAGCACGAAATTGGTCGACAGCAGCAGTGCCGGTGAACAAGCACTGGAGACAAAAAGGGTCGACACCTGCAGCTTCAGCAATGATTTAGTCAAAGCATTTTTAGACCGCAAAGTTGCTTTCAAAACAACTACTCCAGCTCGACTCCAGCTCGACTTTACTCGGCGTGCTTTTGAGCTCGTTCTACCTGTAGCTCGCTAATGAAATCCCCAACACACAACCCATGGCCACCACGCGGCATGGACAGATCCATCCATGTCGCAGCCAGCCCGGCAATGGCATCTATGGATCCAGTTTGGGTCCTTTTTCTCAAAATGGGAATCTCCTAAAATGGGTTGCCTTGGCTCCCTGTGAATAACAAAACGGGGTCCATGTTGAAAAGCTCCCAGACTCCCAATGTTTCGAGAAATTCGCCGAAGTTTAGGGACATGGGATAAGCCCTTCATTCACACGACCTGATGAACACCTCCAGCGCCAACCACCCGGCCTTGACGTAAATCTGTGCAATCTGCGGCAGTGTGGAAGAGGGATTCCTGATGAACCTAAGGACACTGGCGGGCGAAGCTCCGGAAACTGAAGGGAAACTAAAGAAAACCAAACACCTGGGATCCGTTGGGATACACATCATCTGCAAATAAAGCTAAAACCCGAAGCAAGGAATCCCAAAGAAATGGACCTGCATTGTGGCTTTCAGCTTTTTTTTACCCCCAAGTGAGTCATGAAAATAGGCAAATGGGATCTGTGGGATACGCATTCGGCTCTGCGAACCTGCGGCAAGTAGCCAATCGATGGTTTCCGCGTCTGGCAATCGCAACGCCCGCACGATGTAGTCGGACACGTCATCAAAAAACCTGACTCTGGCAAATGCGCAAAATGGGGCACCTACGCGTGCTTCGTTTCCTGTTGTTTTTCCCTCAGAACCATCAGCTTGGCGCAGGATGCCCTGTTCAGCTTGGTTTGAAGGGAAGCCAAAGGAACAAACATAAGTTAGGGGGTCCCCATTTTGACGCAATGCCAAATTGAAGCAGCTCTGCGCGCACAAACTGGCCATGCCGTGAATTCGATTGCAACACCTTTGCCCAAGAAAATGGAGTGTACCCTGTCAAGACTCTACTTCTGTCCCCGATTGCCAGGTGCGAAGGGAACTACGCCAGCTGAAGTGCCTCTTGCCTAGGTACTGCTGGTCCACGCATTGCAGGTCCAGGAATGAGCGGCATAGCTGAACCAGGTCCTGACACAATGATGCCCATGGTCCAGCTGCAATTCTGGCTGAGATCTGCAATTCTGGCCTGTGAGGTTTAAGTCGAGGCCGTTAGCAAGAAGGCGTGTCATGGGCGGTTGAACTGCTTGAGCTGCTTGCGCTCCGCAAGTCTTGTACATGTCATGAACCTACTTTGGACAGTGGAGGAGACATGTGGCCATCATGCTCCCTCTAACATGCAACTCGTCAAACATTTTGAGTCCCCTCCTGTTTAAACATATCCTTGCCCACTGAAGGAGGCTATGATCTTGATTAATAGGTCTTGTGTATGTTATTGCTTCCGCAATTTCAACACAACCTTGGAGCGCTGTCATGGCACCTCCCGACCATGACCCCCCCTCTAAACCCAATAGTGCACAAGCTGAAACATCCAGGCGAAACATGTGGACTTGTTGTGGTCCAGGACGGCTTGAGCAGTTCCAGTGGTACCTGGGGGGCTGTGAGCCCCAAGTTTGAAGGCCCGGCCAGGTCTTATACTGCCCGAGTAACATTCCGTTACTCCATGCCATCACCTAACATGTGTCGGACTCCCGTAAGTAGTTGCGGCTTGCCTTTGTTCTCCCGCCACAAAGGTCGCGGAACAAATGGGTGCTCATTGGCTTTGCTCACACGCAACCCGGAAAAATGGTATACACTCATTAGACAAACCCTCATCTATTTGAAACATGCTACACGATATCCGAATACCGATACCTTATTCAAAACTTATCAAACCATGGCAACCCAACAAATCATGCTTTTTCTTTTGCCCCCTTAAACCAAGCGGACAAATGGCACTGAGCCTCAAAACAAACGCCCACACACACACACACACACACACACACACTCAGACATCCTTACCGCCAAGACGGGATGCCGATGCAAGCCGATGCCCGCCTGGAGCAGGAAGGGCGCAGCTGGCACCTTGCCAAAGGAGCTGATGACTGGTGCGCAAAGCTCTGCCGGCAGCTCCTGGCGGATATCCCCTTGCCAGGTGTGAGGCTGGGGTTTAGGGCTTGAGGTTTAGAGTTTTAGGTGTGGGGTTTAGGGAAGGGCGTTTGGGTTGAGTCTTGGGCTTTCAGAGTCGTGAAGAAACAGGCTGGCCAGTCCGCTCCTGAGTTTGCAAGTTGGGGAACTGGGATGGGGTCGGAGGTGGGCCCCTGGCCCTGTGCAAATGTTTGCACTTTCCGCCACTCTTCCCAAAGCGCCTGGGGGCAGATCATAGAGTATGGCCTATTGGGGAGATTCCATTGGGAGACATCTGAGAATTTCCAGCCCTACCCACACTCAAAGGAGGGCAACACCAAGCCCCGCAACAAAGAAACCAAGGCACTTTGCCCTTTAAACCAGACCAACTCCCGAAAGAAAAGAGCTGCAAAGTAGCCAACTGCCCACCCAGCCTTGCCCTCCTTTTTCATGAATGAAGTACAGCCATGAACACCAATGACCTTGCAAGTTGGTGCCTCCTCAAAATAGGGGCTCAAACAATGGTTGGTTCCTTTGTATGTTCCCAAACCAGCCAGAGGTGATCCTCCTTCATCTCCATTGTTGGAAGCCCAAAATTCATCGGGCCCATCCAGGCAAAAGTCTCTATGAAGCTCACGGCTTGCCAAGGCTCTGGGGTTCATGGGGGACCAACCGTCTGTCTGGGTGAGGCCCCCACAACTTTTGAGGCGATTCTGACCTACTCAACCGGCGACCCCTGTTGAAGACTTGCGGCGAGCCCTGATTTGAACCAATGAGCTGACAAAAGCGGCTGCACCGGTCCGGCAGCAGGGCTGTGTCCAGCAGGGAGACCGCTCTCAGCATCATGGCCTGCCAGGTATGTCTTCGGACAGAGATCTCTTGTTCTGTACTTGAGGTGCACTCCGGGCTGGATTGGCAAACAACAGAGTCAGGATGGGGAACAAAATATGAGCTTTCTCCCTGCCCAGCCTCATCGGCACCAACCCTTACATGTGCGCGATCCTTCTTATTTCCCTGTTCTACGTGGTAAGGATGCACAATTATCAATGCATGTGCTGCAAGGCAGTAGCAATTCTCCATGTGCAGCCCAGCATCTAGGATTTCCGCTCTCAGCAACTGCAAAAATCAGGCTTCCCAAAGGAGGGAACAACCCACTCGAAGGGCGCTTGCCCATGGTACCGATTGACACAACGCGACAAACCCAGTTGGAATCTTCCGACGCGCTTGCAGGATGGTTAGAATATTCAACGCACCCCCCCTCGAAACAAAAAACACGTTTGACAGCCAAATGGAGGCCTTTTGAGTCTTAGGCTAGATGCGGGCAATGGTGGTGTGTCCGCAAAGAGGGCGACACAAGCCGGCCCCTTTTGGTTGGCATTTCAAGGGACGCCAAAGGAAACAGGCACAAGCCAGTCGGGTTTCCGTGCAGCAGAAAAGGCCAGATGCTACTAAGCACAAATCGAGGAGAGTCTTGGGAATGGGGCAAAGGGATGATATTGATTGATATATGCATACCGTTGCATTTCGGCAAATATGTTGCAACATGATTTTCAGGTTGTCACTCGCACAATAATTGCATGTGCAAGCCAGGTGTTCAGCCTTTTGAAAAGACAACTCATTGCTTGATTGCATTGACTCTCTCGAAAAGCGTACCTTAAGGCCAGAAAGTCGTAGGACTATTCATCCCCTCGACGCACTCGTGCAAAAACCGAGGGCATGATCCGGTGGGTGGGCTTTTCTTACATCGGCAAACCTGAGCTTACCCAACTTGGCGGATGCCTCGAACAACTCCTCATCCACGGTCTTGGTGATCGCGAAAGCCAGCAGCACGTCAGTGATCACCTCAGAAGTTTTTTCGGAGGCAAATAGAACCAACATGAAGCCCCAACAAATTCAACCAAATGCACCATAAACAAGGTATGTGCCATCCAAAGCGCCGCAAGTGGGTCGAGTCATGGTCATGGACCCCCTCAGAACAGGACTTCCTTCAAACTTTAGCACCTCGAAACCAAACAGATCTGGGCGAATGCCACGTATCCTGGGATGCGGACCTTGCGAGGACGCCCTTTTAGGTTGTGTTTCAAGGGAAACCGAAACGAGCAAGAAACACGACATGCTTGGGGGGCCGTTGCCAAATGGCATTTGCTCACCTGACTGCAAAGGCAAATCATCAACTCAAGGATCACAGGCTGTGTTTGGGGGTTCCTAATTTTGGTAAACATCATTGCGCACTCGTTGTGCTTAGGGTCCAATGGCGTGCATGATGCTACTGGCGTGACGTATCATTGACGTTCCGCGCTCTCGAGTGGAGGCCTCTCGAAGAAATTGGAATCCTTCGATTTGTGCGGGCTCGGAAAGGAATCAAATGGGGCCGCCATTGCTACAGTATCAAGCTAGAAGGGATGTCGAGGGTTGCAAGGCTTAAGCTGGAGCCTCCCAGCAAGAAGAAGCCCTGTAATCGGAACAACACCGCAAATACCTGATCTTCCCAGTTCCAAACATACTTGGGACTCCTCCAAGTGGTTGGTTTTGCTTTGGTTTCCCCTCACAAAGTTAAAGGGAATCTTGTCCGGTCCACCCACCAAGAATCGAAAAGGAAAAAACAACCTGCTGTAAACAGGACATGGCAGGCCGGTTCCTTCCTCAGTCCTCTTTCTTCCGCCATCGTCTGTCCCCGAATAGGCTCCCCCCAAAGGAGGCGCAGGTAAAATTTTGCCAGTTTGGTAGTGGCTTACAATTGGCCAATTCCAGATTTTGCATTAGCGTCCTTGGAGTTTGGAAAATAGTCTATTGTATAGGGTGACAATTGTCATTTGGGGGGAGAAACACCCATTTGGTCCACCCAATGGTCCAAGTCCAAGGCACCTTGGGTGACAGACTGTGCGGTCCTTCCTTCAATTTGCATCGGCGCAGGCACTCCTGCGAATGCGATTTCGCCGATCCCGTGTGACTACGGCTGTACCTGTACAACCAGCTTCCTCAAGGACATCGGCATTTCAAGCATTTTGATGGGTCCCTTTGTTTTGACACACATACGCAAAGAGTGATTTATTGAGTGCTTTCAGTGACAAGGTGAATAAAGAGACCTCTCCCGCCCGAACCCACAAAGGATTGAAAGCGTCACAACCGGGATTTAAGGGGCCCGTAGTCATGACAACCGATCCATTTATGATGAAGCACAACCTGGAGAGGGATGAGGTTTGCCCTCGCTAAGTTGGTTGAACACAGCCAATAGTTCAAACGGTCAGATTGCTAGGAAAATATTATCAGCTTCCCTCTGATTGGTTTGGATTGGCGCTTTGGGTAAGTTCGGGTAAGTTAGGAGGGTGGTTGGTCAATCCCCAAAACAACAATCCAAATTTGGTGTTTGGCGCTCACTTCCCACAAATGCTCCAGCAACCCAAAAGCCCTGAACGTGGCCTCCTCTTTTTTTTAAGAGACCCCGACAGGGCGTCCTTCAACCACCAAATTACCCTCAAAAAGTGAAGAAACACAGGGTTGTACAAGGCGAACATGTGCACCTCGAAGGAGAAATTCCAATCCGCTCGGCTTCGCTCCTGCTTCACCACGATGAGAAGCCCCGGATTTCGCACGCCGGCCTCTGCAAGTCTTTGTATACCCACAACCGATTTCCTTCAACCCCCCCCCCCATAGAGGGTTTTCAAGCAAAAGGCTTCCAAGCACTCGTGGGGTCGAATCGAAGGGGCAGCTAAAAAGTGGAGATAGAACAGTATGCAACCTCTAAGGGGCTGAGACTAAGTGCGAGGAATCAGGGTGAGAATACGAGTGGACCACGTCCAATGAAACAAAAACAAAGCAACATGAGTCACCAGCGCATTTGGAATAGTCAACATGGTGAGACGTCCCATGTCAAAAATCAGCCTAGCTGATTTGAGTTGAACCCCGTATTGGTCGGTTTGTTCATTGTTCAACTCTGCAATTCAATAACTCCTATGCTGTGTGTCAATTGCAATCAAACAAATGAAAACCGGCCTTGGCAAAAATGAGAGGAAGCCGCCCGAGAGCATCTCGATCTAAGTTCGAGATTCGCTCTCCGACGTAGCGTCCGACCTGGGCATGTACCCGCATCCCGAAGGGCAAAGCCATCTCTCAGTGCCTCTTGAAAGACAGGAGTGATCACGTTCTGGGATTCCATCATGGTGTGGAGCCTCGAACGTGCGACTGGCGCCCGAAGGGGCGCCCCAAAGCGCTCCACACGCAAACTCAGTCTGGCGGCATGTAGACTGCCGCGATGGGATGAATCGCAGATAGCCGCGCGAGAAGCCCTGCCTGAGACAGCCATGAGCATCATTCAACCAGTGCCACACAAATGATGTGCTGGGTCCCTGTCCTCGGACTCCAGCAAATACTCGAAGAATCGAGTGCCAGCATAGCCTTGCGATCATGCAGGCAATTCTGCGACATGGATGAATGATCAATGGCTAACAGCACAACGAGCCTCCAATGAATCAACACACACACAACACGTTCTGTTAAAAAAAACATTTTATAATAAAACCATTGTGCACGTTAATTATTTGTTTCTTGTTGATCCTCATTCTTAGTATGTACACACGATAAATGAAACACAGTGCAAGCAAGCCACGACCACTTCGATGCCTGCCCTCGTCGCCGTTAAATTGCCAGAAGGTAATGCGGCGGCAATCAAAGAAGCAAAGGGGCTTTGCCTTGCAGTACTCATCCAAGGCTCGTTTTGCTAAAGCCTTATAAAGCGCTGCGGGGGCGTGGAGTAGCGGCTTCATCTGTTGGAGCAATCTTCTGCATTCCGAGCGATTCATCTGCTGAACGGAAGAAACCTCAGGCATGGGCTCCTCCTTCCGGGGAAGTGGCTCCACCTGTTCAGTGCTTTCCCTTTCCTTCTTGCCACTTGGAGCCTCCAGCTCGCGCATGACCCGTCCGAAGTTGTTCTTCAAATGACCCATCTCCTGCTTTTTCAGTTGCTTCAGTCCAGCCTCACGCTGATGTCTGCGTTTGACACTGGTAAACCAAGATGTTGACTCACTGGTGGCTGCAGACGCAATGATGCTATCCACCTCCTTCTGGATTTCCTTTGTGTCATGGTTGCATCTCTCCACAAGCATCTGTATGTCTTGGGATGACCAACCTAGGTCAGTCAACAATGGCTCCAGCAAATCTGTCTGCTGCTTCTTCACATCGGCATTCCCATCTAAGGAATGTTCTTGTCTCTTCTTCTCTGCCTCCTTGTGCAAAAGACGCTGCATGTGCACATTCTTGGCCTGTTTTGATTTCAAACTGGGATTCAAGGCTGAGGGGTCCAAACCGACTTGACCAATCGGCACTGCAGCTTCTGGTTCGGACTCGCCTGAATCTGAAAACGCAAGCGTTGACAGGTCAGCAGGGTTTGGTTCTGGCAGGCTTTGCACATCTGGAAGAAGTTTTGATAGCAACATGTCATAGCCGTCCTCGGATGGCCATGCATGACTGCAATAGTCCATGCACTGCTTCAGCAAATCACTGTCAATCGCTTGCACCTCCTTGACCATCTCAATCTGTGCATTCGATCTTGAATCAGCGTCCGTTAGTAGCTCAACTTCAGGTGCATCCTCGCAAGTGTCGTCACCTTCATTCTCCAAAGAATTACTGGTACTGAATGCAGAGCTTCCTTCACTGTCAGACTTCAATACCTCGTACTCTTCGTCATCCCCGTCCAATTCGATGACTTCATCTGTGTCACTGCCGTTGCTTTCACGCTGTGGCGCACTGTTCTCATGCTCCTCCAGCTCGATCACTTCATCGCTTGCACTGCCGTTGCTTTCACCCCACGGTGCGTTGTCTGAATCCGGCTCCAGTTCGAACACTTCATCGCCACTGTCGCTGTCTGCCATGGCATGCCCAGCACAAAATTGGCTTGATTTCTGTGGAACTGTGCTTGTGTCTGAGTGAATGTGTTCATGCCCCAAGCAATCCCAAAGCCTTGCTTGTTCGCTAGACGTCTGCTGAACATCACCTGGTATCCGAAATCGATGACATACTTTAACTCCATTGTCAACATGCCCGTGTGCAATCCAGCCAAATTGTCGCAAATCATGTCACAAGGCAACAAAGTGAGCAAAACACGCGACTGCAAAATGCCGCCATGACATGACCGAACCGAACATACAGTATCACTACTGGTTCCCCTGCCTTGTGTGAGACAACTTGGGGAGGTGTGGAGCTGTTTTTGGGTTGTCTTGAAGGGACACCAAAACTAAACCACCCTTCCATTTAATGTGCCCCCCATTCAGGGACAAACCCATGTCTACCGAAAGCTCAAGATCCCTTACCGGAAGTGTGGTAGGGCGGAAGTGGCCGGGATCACGAGTCCTCCCAGGAAACAAACATACCTTAAGGGGTCACAAAATGTTTGCCCTTTTGGGAATACTAGGCAAAAGCTTAGGGGAACAGAAAATGCCAGAACATCCAAACGACAAAGGGACAAAACCAGACCAAAAAGGGTTGGGGATGGCTCTACAGGGGATAGGACAATAAACAAGTTCGCCATGTCTTTTAGCTCGTCGAGCTGCGCCGGAGCTAAGTGTTGCGAATGGCGGAGCCGCTCTGCAGTGCAGAGTCTAGGATCGAGGGATGAGCGCGGTAGCCCTTCTCCCACTCATCTGCATCGTCTTGCAGCCTGTAGACAGCCTGGGTAAACAGGAACACTGGCAAACTTATCCATACCCTTTGTAGCTTGCCTTTTACGAAACTAGAAGTCTTGAGCATGATCGGTATTGGTGTTTAGCACCGAGAAGCGTAGGCATGAGCTTCATCATCAACTCCTCGCGCAAAGGCACCATATCACCCAGCACCGTGCCACTCCAACCCCCTTGAAATCCAGCCTTGTGCTTGACTTGTGAGACCTAGAGCTGCGTCCACACCCCGAAACCTGCCGAAGTCTAGACACCAGAATTCTTGCCTACAAAGCACGGCCACACCTTGGTCCATAGCCAATTCCTCCAGCTCGAAAGCCCCAGTAAAATTGCTCTTTGATCACCTCAGCTCGCAAAAACGCAACCCGTCCGCAAACAATCGAACATGTCTTTCAAGATTTGCCTAGTAAATGGGCGTTTTCTAAACAAACTCCCAAAATGGCTGATGTCCTTTTGGGTTCCCTTTAAACTGACCTCACAAAGGCTCACAAAGGGTACCCCAAAAAGACACACACGCACACAGATTTCAGATCAATTTAATTTGTTTTCTTTGGGGGGGTAACCGCCTTATGGTTGGTGTTAAAGGGACACCAAAAGGAAACCAACCATTTTGGGGACCCCACATTTTGAGAGAAACTCATGTCCAAAACAGATACCCTCCTTCTTCTTGCAAACCAGCAGCTGGCGTGAAGGATTGACCAGCGCCAACCGGAGCTTTGGATCCATGCTTTGCTGGCGCATTTGCGCGAATAAAGTCATTCATCGATTTGTCCCTGAGCAGCATTGGATGGAATTGGCTTGAAGCCAACTTCGTGGTCTGAAAATGGCACCGGTCTCCTCCTAACCTCATGGAGATCATGACCGGGAGAGGTACCCAATTTGGACTCCTTGCCCATCAAACAAACAAGCCAACAAACCAACGAACCAACCAACCAACCAACCAACCAAAAAACACACACAAATACACAAACACACAAACACACCAACACAAACACAAACACACACAAACACACACACAGACACAGACACAGACACAGACACAGACACAGACACAGACACAGACACAGACACACACACACACACACAGGCACGCACACACACACAAACACAAACACAAACACAAACACAAACACAAACACAAACACAAACACACAAACACACAAACACACAAACACACACAAACACACACAAACACACACAAACACACACAAACACACACACAAACACACAAACACACAAACACACAAACACACAAACACACAAACACACAAACACACAAACACACAAACACACAAACACACAAACACAAACGCACAAACACACAAACACACACACACACACACACACCCACCCACCCACCCACGCACCCACCGACGCACGCACGCACGCACGCACGCACGCACGGACGCACCACGCACGCACGCACGCACGCACGCACCCACCCACCCACACACAGACACGCACACACACACACACACACAAAAACACATACACAACCGCACACACAAACACACACACAAACACAAACACAAACACAAACACAAACACAAACACCAACACCACCACAAACACCACCACAAACACCACCACAAACACCACCACAAACACCACCACAAACACCACCACAAACACCACCACAAACACCACCACAAACACCACCACAAACACCACCACAAACACCACCACAAACACCACCAAAAACACCACCACAAACACCACCACAAACACCACCACAAACACCACCACAAACACCACCACAAACACCACCACAAACACCACCACAAACACCACCACAAACACCACCACAAACACCACCACAAACACCACCACAAACACCAACACAAACACCACCACAAACACCACCACAAACACCACCACAAACACCACCACAAACACCACCACAAACACCACCACAAACACCACCACAAACACCACCACAAACACCACCACAAACACCACCACAAACACCACCACAAACACCACCACAAACACCACCACAAACACCACCACAAACACCACAACAAACACCACCACAAACACCACCACAAACACC